AAATATAAAGAATACAAACAAAATAGTAATAATAAACAGTAATAAATAGTAACATAATAGGAACCTTAACTTTTGAGCAGGAAAATTGAGGCAATGTTGACTTTTTGATAAATAAATAATATAATCTTAATGTTTTAACAAAGAAAGTACATTCATAAATCAAAATTTATTAATTTTTTATGTACATATATAAATGCATAAATAATTTAACTCTAATATCATTCCATTTTTAACGGCATCTAAAACATCCAAAGGGAATGGTTTAATATCCAATTTAGTTTCTAAACTTTCATTTCTAAACTTAATTCATCCCTTAATTTCATAAAGCATTCAAATTATCCTTAAACTTCATTTTTTCGTAACCCAAATGGTCCTTCCGTAAATGAAACTACATACTTGCCACATTAAGGCTCCACCAATTGCCTCTTTTAATTTTCACAAGCTTATATTGAAAAAACACCACACTTAATTGATAACATGACACCAATTTCATTCCATGCCACATTCTCGCCTCTCCGGTTCAAGAACTCCTCAAATGGTGAAGCTTTTTCTTTGTCTGCTTCCTTTGCTTTCACTATAATCCTTGAGTACCCAAAGCTTGGCAGCCATGACCTTGCTTTCACTATCGCTAGTTCTAAAGATCTTAGAGGAGCGCTTCCTAGGCAATATCTCGGCCTGCTCAATGCCAGCAATATTGGAAACTTCTCGGACCATCTGTTCGCTGTCGAGTTTGACATGATTCAGGATTTTGAGTTTCAGGACATCAACGACAACCACATCGGCATCAACATCAACAACATGATTTCCAATGCCTCTGCTCCTGCAAGATACTACAGTGATAGTTCCACGAACCAGAATCTCACCCTCAAGAGTGGCATCAGGATCCAAGCTTGGATCAATTACAATTCTATGTAAAATGTCATCAATGTTACGATTTGCCCCAATTCAACAAGACCCAGTATGTCGATCTTGTCTTTTCCGTTAGATCTTTCACCGATTTTCCAAGAATTTATGTATGTGGGTTTCTCTGCTTCAACAAGGTTACTGGCTTGCTCGCATTATGTTTTGGGTTGGAGCTTCAAAATCAATGGAGAAGTTCAATCTCTAAATCTCTCCTCTCTTCCTTCCCTTCCAGGACCCAAAAAAAAAAAAGCACAGCTTTGACAATAGGAGTCTTTGTTTCATCCGCTCTTCTTGTTTTATCCACCATATTCATCGTTATTTACCTAATTATAAAGAAAATCAAGGACAGAGAAGTGATTGAAGATTGGGAGCTCGAGATTGGACCCCAGAGATACCTATATCATGAGCTCAAGAAAGCAACAAATAATTTCAACGAGAAGATGCTACTCGGCCATGGCGGCTTTGGTCAAGTTTTCAAAGGAACACTAAAGGATTCAAAGTTGGAGATTGCCATCAAGTGAATCTCCCACGAATCAAATAGGGGTTACCTGAATTCGTGTTGGAAATTGCAAGTATTGGCTAGCTTCATCACTGGAACTTGGTTAAGTTGTTGGGATGGTGCAGTTCCCGCTGGTTTATTCAGAAGGTGGGAGAGGTGGAAATTGGTGTCATGTCATTAATTAGGTGTGGTGTTTTTTACACGTAAACTTGTGAAAAATTAAAAGAGGTAATCGGTGGAGAGTTAATGTCTCAGGAATGCAGTTCCATGATGGAAGGACCATTTGGTTATGGAAAAATAAAGTTAAAGAATCATTTGAGTACTTTATGAAGTTAAAGAATGAATTAAGTTTAAAAATAAAGTTTAAGGACAAAATTGAGTATTAAACCAAAGGAAATTAGGCAGCCCCTCCCTACTACTTATGAAAGAAAGTAAAAAAAGAAGGCCGCCACCGGGCTGCTACCAACTCACGGGCTGGGTTCAGAGGCTTGGCGCTGGCTCTAGATTGTACGGTCGGAAGTAGGAATAAGCACATTGAGATACATATATATTTTTTCAAATAAATTATAATTATTTATAATTATTAATTAAGAAATACAAAAAAAAATTTCGTAAAGTTTGAATACATAACTCATAATAGATAAACAATCTTAATTCAAAGTTTATGTAATTAGGATGAAACGGGTCGTTCACTAATTTAGATACATATCAAATAAGGATTATATTTGATATTTAATTTAAAAAATTTTAGGTATAATTTTCTAAACTTACCATTACTTAAATATTTGAAGATTTATATTTGATATTTAATTCAATAGTTATTAGATAAGTTACAGTATATACGCATATATTTGGTTTAAAGAAAAAAATTTAATA